TAGATGGCTATTTAGATGACTAGCTACCTATCTAGCTAAGTAGGTAGGTAGGTAGGTAGGTAAGCAGGCAGGTAGGTAGGCAGGCAGGTAGGCAGGCAGGTAGTCAGGCAGGCAGGCAAACAGACAGACAGCAGATAGATAGATAGACAGATTTAGCAATATTGTCACTAATTCTTCTCAGTGTAGAAAAGTGTAAAATTGGTACCTGTAATATTTTGTATCAATAAATGTCACCAAGTCCTCTTTGTTTCCAACGGCTATCGTCGAGCCATCCGGTGACCAACATATGTTGATGTTTTCACCTAATAATCACAACACAAACACAATAACAAATACTGAAGTAGCTCAACCTGGGGGATTACAATGATGAAAAGCACAGGCAATGGGGCCAAATCTCAATGTTTCCCAATTACAGTAAACATACATCAATTGCTAAAACTTGTAGTCAAATTGTCATTTAAGGTAAACCATTTATCTACATTATTCTATGTATAAATGAGATTACAGTTACCTTTTGTGTTAACGACAGCCACACACTTTGAGGTACGGGCATCCCATATCCGTACAGACCGGTCGCCACTGGCAGTAGCTAAAAGCTCAGGATGAGTGGGATGCCAACACAGCTGATCAACACTGTCTGCATGGCCTCGGAATGTATGGTCTTTACTCTATGATCATCAAATGGCAACCATTTGGTTAAAGTGTGTATTGAACAATGACTTACAGAGCCACACCCATCATGTTATATCTTCCAACCTTATAAAATGATAGGTACTGACTACACGAGTCTGCAGAAAGGTACACAGATGTAAAATGACAGCTGCAGGATGTGTAAGATTTAATATTTCATCTGCATCCGCATGTTTCAGCACTGGGTCACAATCCATTAAGCTGCATTGTTGGGAAATAGAATTCTTACTCACTAGTTAGCACTATAGTATTACACCAAGCAGATCTATTTGTTGACACTGGGGGTGGCCACTGCCCATATTTCGCATCATCTATGGTTCTTTTTCATCCCTATTCAGCGGTGAGATTGGGTAATTTAATTTTCAGCTGAAATTGTACTTAACAAACAGAGGAGCGAAGCAATGCGAGGAACCGTAAGGTTATCGCCATGCTTAGGGGGAGTCCGGCGGGGCATTGCCCCCCCGGAATTTTATAAAGAAATTGTGCAATTTGGTGCATTCTAGCTATTCTGAACAAATTGATAGGAGACTCTCTGAATCACGCTTTTTCAGTTGTCAAAAGGTACAAACGAACTATAATAATAGGAATCGGGGGCTGAAAATAGGGCAAGTTTTTTTATTAATGGGACTGACATAATTTTCTGCTTTTTTTTATGATATTTTTCTAAATGGATATTTTTTCTGATGAATATTTTTCTGTTGTTTCACCGTCGTGCATTGTTTTACTCAGACATAAGCGTGCCTTGTGCTGGCGACAGATTTGAATTGAAAAAACACAATTGCGAATGGAACAATCAGTGCGATAGTCATGTACACAACATGGCACGCGCAACATTGGTAAACCGGCCCCCAGGGGCAGGCATGGCGTTTTTACGTGATCAGCTACCTCAAATGTCTGGCACCCTCTACTGCCTAGGCCTGTGAACGAGGATTTTCTTTTCCTGCGTACGCAAAACAGATACATGTATACTTTCGCTGTAGCCTACTGATCTTACACTCTACAGTCTACAGTCAGCGTGCTGTTGAGGCGTATATAATTTAAATTGTTACATTATTACCCCCCTCCAATCTTTCTTCAACGAATTAGACGTTTCACAAAATCGACGCCCTGGGACTGCTCAAATCCGCGGATTTCGCGCGATCCGGCGGGAAATCTCATCCCTGCCTAATTCACGGAGAGGGGATTTTACATGGTCATTCGAGTCATGACTCACGGGGGATTCGCACGTTAAGGATACTCTCCACGTTGTGCATGAAATTTTATCGATTTTTCGTTTTCAACTTTATTCGCACTGTGTAAACACTATCGTCCCACCCTGTGTACAATGCTCATTCTCCATATAACGGTACATGTGAACGAACCCTCAGAAGCGGTTTTTGCTTGCCCCCGTACATGTAGTAAGCAGCGGCTGACGTCATTATGACGTCAGCAGTCAGGATACAAACCAGATATTCACTAGTAATAAATAAGCAGTTATCATTCAGTGTCATACCCTGCCTAAGCTGTCCATTTACATTATTCATGTACATCATGTACATCTCTAGTTGATCAACAAGTATCCCACGCCCAAAATAGTTCTAACACCTCGACATGCAACACACCTTATCTGTAGATGTAGTGTAGTAGCGCGGTTTTGTTTGATATTAGCTTCTGTGACGTCAGGATAAGCGGAGTTCGCGCGTTTTGCGATGGTAACCTCGTTAATTTCTCAGAATTTCTTCAAGGTGCTGGACATTTTACCAATTTAGTTGGTGTCAGTCAGTCACGGATATGTCGCAGTAAGTACTACAATAGACTATATCCCATACGTTCACCATTTTCCACACAGCGCGGTCACTCATTGTGAAAAATTAGAAAAACGATGATTCTCGTTTATTCGAATTCTGACATAGTAGCCGATGTTATAAATGATATTTCTCTGTGATTTACAACTCGGATTAATTTAATTTTAGCACTCGTTTTAATGCGGTTAACATTTTGCTGGTAAAAAGCGCGTTCAGGGATTGTATTAAGGCCGTACTTTATTAGCTTATGCGCCCTCTTCTTCTTTTGGCCCTCTTTGTTAATTTTTATTCTTTCTTTTTTTTTTTTTTTTTTATTTTCTTCTTTTTTTTTTTTTCTTTTTTTACTTATTTTTTTTTTTTCTTCTCTCTTTTTTTTTTTTTTTTTCTCTTCTTCGTTTTTCTTTTCTCTTATTTTCTCCTTGTTTCTTCTTCTTTTTCTTCTTTTTTAATTCTTCCTCTTTTTTTTTCTTTCTTTTCTTTTTTTTATTTTCTTCTTACTTTCTTTCTTCCTCTCTTTTTTTTTTTTTCTCCTTTTCTTTTTAATTTCTTTTTTTTCCTTCTACTTTTTATTTTTTTTTTTTCTCTCTTCCTTCTTTAAATTATTTTTTCTGTCTCTTTTTTCTATTTTTCTTTTGACTTTCTCTTTCTTTTATACTTCCTTACTGTTTTTCTTCTCCGCTTTTTTGTTTTTTCTATTTCGCTAAAATATCTATTTTTTCACACAACTTGATTTTTAAGCAGTTTTTTTCGAGTTTTTCTGCGTAAATATGTAAATTAAGAAAATCCTGCACGCGCTATTTTTGGTCCATATTGTGCTTAACATGTTGGCAAAAAATTTTGTATCCTCACTCTTCTGGTAGTTGGGAAATATCAAAAATACCATTTTTACATAAAAATTCAAATTTGTGTGGTTAACATTAATTATAGGTGCTGGAAATTTTCATATTTTTTGGCCTTGAGCTTAGAGAATATATCTCCTCTATAAAATTATAACAAGTGATTTGATTCGATTCATTCGCCAATTAAACGTTTAATCTTCACTTAGAGCAATTACCCGTGCACAAACGTGGAGAGTATCCTTAACATGGTGAACTACTACTCTGTCAGTGCTTATACTTGCACCCAAAGCGTAAGTTAATACTAGACTAGTAGTGTATATATCGCATGATGAACGTACATAAACATACTACTAATATTACTAGAAATCTTAGATTCTTGTTCAATCAACTGTACTGAATAGTGTATATATGTCTTCATTAAAACTATGACATATGAACCACAGGCACTTGGAACATCTCAAATAAAAAAAGAAAAGGTGAATAAAACACTAAATGTATTTACTTACCAAAGTCTTAATGTTTCTCTACTCTATTTCGCGCTATAATCACCTTAAATCTGCGGTCAAAGTGCTCCATCTGCAAACACAACGTACACACACCTACTAGCTGCCACCCACGTGACACAATAATTATATAGCACGTAGAGAAGCGTGCTGCAATTCGCTCCGATGCCTCGCATTGAATTTCATACAAATACACACACAAATATTCAACCATTTCTACTCCATCTTGTTTCTAGTTTGAAACAGTGTGTCACTTTGAAAATATGTCTGTGTTCGTAACCGAGCTGCTGCTCATCGGCAAAATCCCACAAATCGCTCTGACAAAATTCTCGCGTTACCTCCCGTTGCCCCGCAGGTTTATGTAAATGCTGTCCGAAGTCAGGAAAACACCCACCGGCCGCTCTTTGTTGACCTACATTTTTGCGCCGACCACACGCGCCCCAACGTTTCTGCAACCGCTCACTGGCGTGCTTTGATGGGGGCCTCACAACTGGGAAGTTGTGAAACAGCGTGGTGGTAGTTTCCAAAAATGCAGTGCCACTGCCTATAGGCTATAGCCATTGTACATGTGAGCCATTTAACATAAACTGCGCAACGAGCGAACGGGAGAATTTCGTCAGGCTTTGTGTGACGTTCCAAGTGCCTGTCATTGTGACTATGAGCATGAACACATATATGGATTATGGATGCTTATCATATTCCGTCTTTGATATAGTCCCTTGAACTTTGACGACTAGGCCTAATCTTTATGAGGTTATGAGGCTAATACACATGATATATGGTGCTATGTAAAGTATGTTAAAACTAAAACTTAAAAGGATGACCGGGTGATTTGAAACAAAACTGTTGTTGTTGAAACAAAACAGAACAAACTCTTACCAATCTTTCCCGCTCAAGAAGAAATAAACTGACAGTTTTATCAAATGAGCCAGAAGCGAGCTTGCGTCCATCGCAGCTCCAAGCTACACTATGAACCTTGGCAGCGTGTGCTGAAAAATCTCTTGTTCTGTTGTGTGTTTGGAAGTATTTCTGTAACTTCGTGGAGTCCGCCATGGTCGAAGAGAGCAGCGCCATTTGGAAAACAGTGGACAGACGAGGAACTACATTCCTTTTTTCATTTTCTTATGCATAAAATTTATTTCTGCTCAAGTCAGGCAATTCCGGGAAAAAGTACTCTTCGTGCTTCATCATTCATGATTTTTTTTACAATGAACCACTGTAGGTAATAATGTAATAAGAATTAGCATCTAAAACAACTAAATCACAACCACAGAATTTGAAAGAGAGGTCATCGCGTGTTAGCGGATATCCTGTACTGTAGAATCGTATCAACAGAGACCTTCAATCTCCACATATTTCGCTTCTTCTGTACTAGATATGATTGAAATTTGGGATAATCAACAATGTCTCGTTTAGCCATTTAGACAAAAGTCATGGGTGCAGCAAGAAGTACGATGGGATTATTGTCTGGTGCGTATTATACACGTTCCTCCGTATTTTATTTTGTAGAATGGATTGAAATTACGATTTTGTCTAGTCCGAGTTTCCGCTGACCTGTCAATGCCAATGGCAATGCCAATGGCAACCCACACTGACGATTTTTGGTGGATTGGCGTGGGGTTTGATCAAACCAAATTCAACAAAAATCGTTGGTGTGGGCATTGGTCAGAGGAAACTCGGACTACATTTGTCCACTGGCAGCAAGAACAAGTCCGCACCTGCAGCTACAGTACAGCACACACGCATCTATTGACTTATGACTATAAGTATATGTATATATACAACATGGTGCTTAACTCGCCGCCGCACTTTCCACAACTCACCGTTTTTAATCAGTTACAACTCCGGGCTGATTGGCTGCAGCAACAGATCGACGAGCGTACAGCGAGAGAGAGAGGGTTCGTCTAACATGACTCACCCGTGGTGTCAACAAATGCAGCCTGTCTGCACATTAAACTTGCTGAAGCCAATCAGCGCAGCCGCCAAGGGTTGGCCCTGCCACCTTTTTGCCGGGTAACATTAGAAGGATCGTTTCGCATGGATATTTGAGGAATTTCTGTGATTTAAGCGCATTCTAGCAGGCCGATTGTCAAAAATGGCGGGTGTAGCTTGTTAAGCAGTCTTCTGCGATATAACGTACACGTGCATACACGAGGCAGTGGACAAGGCATGGAGCACACGGCTATGTGGCTGTATAAATTCTTGTGTAAGTGTTCTCCACTGGTTTTGGTTTTCGCTCTGACTTTGTCGCTGTGCAGCACGTAACAGTTAGTTACGTTAGTTATGCACTATACAGTGTTTATCACTTTACTTGTAGTGTTACTCTTGTTACGGTTGTCTCTGTAAGCTAGTTCAAGTAATGAAGTATGTCGGTCATTTTGTTGTTTCTGTACCAATCGTCGTGAATCGAACATTGTGCTACCTTTGCCCCGTTTACCAACGCTAGTGCAGAATGTTATACTTATAGCATATCAACTCTGGTAGAGTGTCATTGTAGTTAGTAATCTGGTGTCCTCATCCCTAATACATATATTCCCTTCTCCTAACTCATGTACCCTGCCACCTAACTTATACTTCTCCCCGAACTCATAGACTCCGCCTCTCCACTAACTTATACCCCCCTCCCATACCAAATAAAAACCATGCATCTAACTCGTAAACCTCTCCTCTGTAACTCATAACATCACCACTACTGGATGTACACCTACTTCAGGCTCTCAACAAAGCTCCTGAACTCAGGTACCTGTGCTCTATCCTAGTTTGTGACCCCGGTATATATAGTTCGCATATGTGCTAATCTAAGCATGGCTGCTAAAAGTGCTAAACTAGGATTGGGCCTGTACCTGCCCTTGATACACAACTCACATACCCCAGCTTACCTCAGGTACACCCCCCCCCCCCCAGAACTCAGATGCACCACCTCTAATAATACAGGGCAAAGTACAGATGTCCCAGCTAGCGAAGGGCTATATCTAGGTATACAGAACGGTGCATTTTTATTTGACTTACAAATTCTACTCGCTGAATGTGTGCATGTGCGTGCATATGTGCATGTATATATGATTGCAACAGCACTTCCTAAGACAGTGGTGTGGAGGCATGCTAAGCACCCCAGCTTCCTCATTTCTTTACAGTGACAGCATAATCCTTTGAACATTCCGGAATACATCTCTGATACATGTGGTTAACCATCTAGAGATATTCTTTCTCTGTTTCTTGTTCTTTTAGTCTCTCTTTCTCACACTCCCCCTCTCTCTCTCTCTCTCTCTCTCTCTCTCTCTCTCTCTCTCTCTCTCTCTCTCTCTTTCTCTCTTTTTCGCTTTCTCTCTCTCTGTGTCTCTCTGCCTCCCTCCCTTCCTTCCCACTCTGTTGCTCTCTCAATCCCTCTCCCTCCCTTCCGCCTTTCTCGCATATTCCTTCCCCTTACAAACGTTGTTATTTGCTGGCATCATGAAAAAACTTAATTAGACAGAGTTAAACAAGTTAGACAGAGATTAGCACGTTATGTGCGGGGCAGCTCATGCATCGTGTGGCTAGTGTTGATGAGGACTATTAATAGCATGGAGACAGTATAATAATGATTACCTCTCCCCCTCCCCATCTCTCACCACTCACTACATCTTCTACACACATACACTATACACATACACTACACACATACATACATCTTCTACACACTACATCACTACACCTTGATACTACCTTGATCACTACGTACGCTCTTGATCTGTTGTTAGAGTACATAGGTGTTAACCATGGCGCGTACGACGGCATAGCTACTGAATTACACTCAAGCGCCTGCACGAGCTCACGCCCTACCAGGCATACTCAGACGTAGCCTGCGGCAACTGTACGCGGGCTATAGTCCTAGAGCTAACCCAGACGTTAATTTATCTGGTTTAGCATTAGTTTACTGGTGTTTTGGTAGAATCACTCCACTTGCTATGACTATTGCGCTATTAGAGTAATAAAAGAACTTAGACTTGTAAATATTTCTGAAATACAAGTGTGCCGTCTATGCTAAACTAATAATGTAATCGCCTATTGCAAAATTAATACGTATATGGTGTATCATGTAAACTTGTCAAGTTGTGGGAAGATGTAAATATTATGACAGTTAGAAATAGCAACTGGCCGCTCCGTCCACCAGGCCAGGAAACTTGTAAACATGTCTCACGCATAAATAGCCACTGGTCTTCCTCTGTCTGTGTAAGGGAAATGAAGTTGTCAACATCCATACTCGTCAGTCAGGAATAGATGTGTTTCTGCTCTGCCTGTGGCTGTGGGAGCAGCGAACTTGTAAACATCTCTTTACGGTCAAGAATAGATGCTCGTCCTCTGCCTGTAAGAGCAGGAAACTTGTAAACACAGAGCCATGGAGTGCTAAACATTTACTGTGCTATCAGCTGCTGAGTTCTATATTAAAAGCTCAACATCCTGTGTATTGATAACGATCGTGAGAACAGAATAAGCCGATGTGGGTGTTTGTCGTACAATCTTTAGCTTGCCCGTAGAAACCATGATCCGACCGACGGGAAATGTGTTTTGGAAATGAAAATAGTTTGCATGCTAATTACAGTTAAATGTGTATGAGTACGCTACACCTTTTGCATCCAGTTATGTTGTGGTGTGTTAGTGGTTCCGTCAGCTTTTGTGTTTTGCGTTGTGCTATCTGTTTCCTGTCCTGAAATATTAACTCGGTTTGAAATTCATGAAGAAATCAAACTTGTATTGATGACTTGGACTCTCGATCTTTAATTCTCTCACTATCGGTCGATGTGTCCATCTTGGTAGGAATGGATTTTATTACATGTCTGCTAGCGTACTGTGTTGAGTTGACAGGTCTATTATTGTATCATGCTCATGAATAGCGGGCAATAGTTCAGATATAGTTTGTGTGATGTGAGTGCGAGCGATATGTGCGACCGAGTAGAACGGTCCTAGCACATACTCTCATACACACACACACGCACGCACGCACGCACGCACACACATACATACACACACGCCCTCGCGCATACACACGCGCGCGCGCGCACACACACACGCACACACGCACACACGCGCGCGCGCGCACACACACATGCAACAACGCGCATACTAACACGCGTGCACACACACACACACATTTAAACGAACATAGAGAGAATGTGTGTACGCGCGCGCGTGCGTGTGTGTTATCGAACGTACGTGTGTGCGTACGGGTGTGTGCGTTCGTGCGTGTGTGGGTGCGAGATAGAGAGACTCACAGAACCACTCACAGTCACTACTCGCGGTTCGCCCCGACGGTTCAGCTGAAGTTCGCGGTGAGAGCAGCCGACCTGTGTAAGACGCGTGGCGGGAGGCGGTCGAGCCTTTGTTTTACTCCTTCCAGAAATAGCAAGCGGGCGCGCGCCACGCTCGACACCTCACGCCTGCCCGCACACACGCGCGGGGGTTTAATTACGGGTCTTTGTAATGAGGGGAGGCCCGAGTAAAGACGATGAAACAATACCGGCGGTCCCGCAGAGCCACGCTCGTCCGTAGTCCGTTCCGCACCACCACGGTGTAGGCACGCCCTCCCTGCCTCCCCCTGCCTCCCCTCCCCCACCACCCCCGTGCTTGTTAGTACCGAGCAGGGGGGCAGCTGGCCTGACTGACTACACAGCTGTCACACACTCGTACACAGCCATGCTGCTATTATGTTCACTCACAAAAGCGCGCGCTACCACCACCAGCAGCAGCAGCAGCAGGCGTAGCTATAAATGACAGCAGGGGCTGCGGCTGTTCGCATTGCTCTAATAGCTCTCTAGAACGAAGGCTGTTGATCGGCTGCTGCTGCTGCTACTGCTTTATAACTGACTCCCGTGCTGCTACTGCTGCTGTGTAGTGGTGGTGGTAGTGTTAGAAGTGTTTCGAGTGTGCACGTATATTCCTACGTCGGTGACTACCTACCTACACGAGACGACCAACCACCATGCCTATATCCGTCGCCAAGATGTTCTCGCGCACGATAAAGAGCGGCAAGTCATCGAGTGCCGTCTCCGAAAAGCAGGCTTCCCCGAAGCCATTCCGGGCCTCCTCTTCCTCGTCTTCCTCTTCCTGTAATCGCAAGCAGCAGAGGAGACACTGTCATCACTGTTGTCACTGCGGATGCAAGGCCGCACGCAAGCAGAGAAACACAGGTAAGCTACACCGCAACAACGGGGACAGCAGCGTCGTCTCGCTAACCGATGAGGGTGCCACAGTCGCAAAGCTAGACGATGAGGGCGCCACAGTCGCGACGCTAGACGATGAGGGCGCCACAGTCGCAACGCTAGACGATGCGGGCGCCACGGCCACGACGACCCGCGCGACACCCGACTACCTAGGGGGCGCCACCGTCTAACCGCCACGTTCTTTTTTTCTTTTCCGCAGATGCGCAGGACCGGCGACCCGCGTCGCAGGAGATGCAGTTCCACCCGATGTGCGGCGAGAACGTTCACTTGTCGGACGACGGCCGCGTCGCGCGCCGCTCCGACAGCTTCTGCAAGGGCGTCGCGTTCGGCCGGCGCGCGGTCGCCGTCGACGAGCGCGTGTACGTGCGCTTCCTCGAGTGCTCGCGCAACTGGAGCGGCGTGCTGCGCTTCGGCTTCACGGCGAACGACCCCGGTCGCGAGGTCGCGACCCGGCGCGACCTGCCGCGCTACGTCTGCCCGGACATGACGAACAAGGCGGGCAACTGGGCGAAGGCGCTCGGCGACAAGTACGCGGAGAGCGGCAACGTGCTGTTCTATTACGTGACGGCGGCGGGGGACCTGCGCTACGGCATCAACGATCAGGACAAGGGAGTGTTCCTGAGCGGAGTCGCGACGACGGGGCCGCTGTGGCCGATGCTCGACCTGTACGGCAACACGACGGCCATCGAGTTCCTAGGTAGGTGTCGCCTGAAGACGACGCAGTGATGTGACTCGTTCTTCTATTACTCTCTTACACACACTTCATCTCTCACTCTATCTCTCTTTTTTTCTCTCTCTCTCTTTTTTTTTCTCTCTCTCTCTCTCTCTCTCTCTCTCTCTCTCTCTCTCTCGCTCTTTGTCTGCTTCTCTGTTTCTCTAAATCTCTCTCTCCTACTTGCTCGCTTTCTCTTCTAGCTCTCTGTTTCCGTGTCTCACTCACTCTGTCTCTCTTTCTCTCTCTCTCTCTCTCTCTCTCTCTCTCTCTCTCTCTCTCTCTGTGTCTCTCTAAATCTGTCTCTCTCTCTCTCTCTCTCTCTCACTCTCTCTTTCTGACTCCATTTCCCCGACTAGATCTCTCCCTACACTTGTCAGTCAAAAAGTTTGCTCTTTTTCTGACCATCTAACTTGTTGCATTGTTGCTTAGACATTTTACGAAAAAAGCGCCTCATCCGACATCTGCTAACAAATCTAGACGAGCGTATAGTAGAGGCATGTGGTCTTGGTCATATGTAGGTTTAGGTTTGTGTGTACTTTGCCACGTTTTGGTACGTGATGGACGCTGTTAGTGTCATTGTAGCATCGTAGATCGTGTCATCGTAGACAAAGATAGAAAACGTTGAACTGCCGCCTCCATCCCCGCTATCCGTGGCACAACCAGCAGTCAGACAAAGCTGCCGCTAGAACATGTCACAGTGACAGGTGTGTGGGCTCTCTCCCGACCACCTCCTCCCTTCTCGTATCTTCTCCCACCCCATCGTAGCCCGCACGCGCCACGAACAAAGACCACCCCCTCCTCCCTCCTCCGCTATCAGTCTCCCTTCCGCCGGCTCGCTGATTGTCCGGCATTGTCCGCGCGGGCCGGACGGCACGAGCCGAGGTCTAGAAATAGATTTTGACAGCAGGCCCGCCCGTACTGGCGTGAAACAATGCGGGCCTCCTGGGCGGGGGAATCACGCTGATTACATCGGTATTCTTCCCCCCTCCCCCTCCCCCTTCTCTCTGTCTTTGTGGCTGTTGTGTCTTTGTGGCGGTACGCGTGTGCTGTTACCCGATATAGCATCGGCACCGACATGTGTTCTACCGCTGGTCAGTGAGGGGGTGGCATTGTCTTGCCGGCTCGCGCCTCGTGTCCGAAATAGCCTGGCGTGAATGAGAGATGATGGTTGGTGGACATCTGCTCTACTGTGGGGGGATTACGCAGTTAAGCGCGTGCTTCTTTGTGAAACATGCGTGCGCGTCTTTGTGGAACGTGCTGCGTGCGCGTGTGGTGTATCGGTGGTGTTAGTAGTTGGCAATGGCGGGCGATGGGGAGCGAGATCGAGAGAGACAAGAGGATGGTTCTATGGCTGCTGCTGTTAGCAGCAGATGTTTCTTAATTCCTCGTCTAAGAATGTGCGGGACACGTGGTCGTAAACGTACGTGGGGGACGAAACGTGTGGGGGGCACCTGCACATGTAAAGATATGGGCGTGTGTGCGCGCGCGTGTGCGTGCCTGCGTTCGTTCGTGAGTGTGCGTTTTAGTAGGTTGGTGCACAGCTGGTGAAATGCGACCAGGAAAGGTCATTAGTTGCTCATATAGGAAAGATCCCTGTATATTAAGACGTGTGTGTGTATAATTTATTCGTTCGTGATCCCTTCGATCATTGTTGGTTTTCGTCGGTCTGTCGTTCGTAGGGCAGTTTGCGAACATGGCGGCTTTGCGCGCTGTCGCGGAGTGGAGCGATGTGATTGGCTGCCATTGTCGACGCCCGTAATTCTATAACTTCCCCTGCTTTATGTCTCATTGTCAACAACTCTTCTAACTTTCAAACCCAGACTGCCAGACATAGTGTACGCGTGTGCGTGCGTGCTTGCGTGTGCGTGCGTACATGTGCATGTATGCTTTGTGTGTGTGGTGTGTGTGTGTGTGTGGTGTGTGTGTGTGTGGCTGTGTGTGTGCTCGTGTGTGCGTGCGCTGCGTGCGTGGTACGTTGCGTGTGCGTGCGTACATGTGTATGTATGCTTGAAGTTGTGTGTGTGCGCGCTCATATGTCTGCGCGACAGAGACGTAGCTAGTCTGTATTATGTCCAGGTACACGGTGCGCACGCACGCGTGTGTGTATATGTGTAACTGTAAGTGACATCCGGTGGTCACCGGATGGTGGTAACGGCGGCGGCACAGAGAGGCATTGTGCGCCTGGCCTGTTTTCATACGACCACCTCCCCCGTCCATCCGCCCGCCCGTCCGTCCGTCGGCGTCTGTGAAGCTATAGCCCCCCACCGTCCTGTTGCATTCATCGCTCTCTCACGCTCCCTCACACCCCTCTCCCGCGTTATTGTTGGGTGGCGGTGACAGAGCATTCCAGCGTGACAGCTGGGGAATGTGGAGGGGTGTGTGTGTGTGTGTGTGTCTGTGTGTGTAGGGGGTCTGGCAATGTGCGACTGGCTGGAGAGAGAGAGAGAGAGAGAGAGAGCGAGAAAAAGCGCGCGCGCGAGAGAGAGAGAGAAAGAGTCGTTACCAGCGTTTCTTATTACGGCTCGTTATGGGCGTGTATGGCACGCCATAGTCATCATCGTTGTCGTCGCCACAGCAAAGTTCATAGCCGGAGGAGGCGGGAGGGGAAAGCCCGGGGGAGGAAGGAGAGGGGAAGCCCGGAGGAGGAAGAACAGGGGAAGCCCGGGGGAGAGAGTGTAGAGATTCCAAGCTATACCCAGAGTCGATTGTATGTATGGCTGCAAAGCTATCGAATGGCTGACCCCCACACGGTACGGGCAGGTGTTTCTTCACTTGTATGGCCGGCCATTCATAGGGAGTAGTAGTATAGGTGCTAAATGTTCTGCATACACACCTAAACAATCCGCGCAGAGAGCCAAACGTTCCGTATATCGTATAAAGATGGAAACGCAGACAGCGCTGCTGCTGTTCGCTTTGCGTTTCCTCGACCGTTTTCCGCAGATTTTCGTATTTTGCTGTTTTATTTCTTTCCTGCCATCACGGCTGCACGCGGCTACCCTCTTCCGTACTGCCCTCCGTTCGTATCCTCCCACCCGCTAAGGCGCTTCCCGCCATATACTGCTCACTCATTCCTTCGTAGTGTGGGAACATTCGTGTATTGATATAGGTGTTGGCGGCAGATGGAGTCTTGCCCGGCAGCCGTTATACGACTATGTGAACAAGTTTTGCTACTATCCCCAGCACCCCGGACCCGCGCGCGCACGCACGCACACGCACGCACACGCGTGCACACAGTGGCAGTGAATAGTCGCTCACACCTGGCAGTCTGGCACGCTTCATTGTTTACTACGTGAGATCTTAGTCAGGCAGGCACGCGCCACGCCGCGCCACACACACACACACACACGTACGACTGTAGTTGGCTCTGTGTGCTACGTATGAATATATGCACTTATATTACACGTATACGAGGGAATGTAGTAGAAAGTCGCCACTGTCTAGCAGCAGCAGCAGCACCCCTGTCTGTGTGTGCTGGCCGTGCACGCACGCACTCACACGCACTCACACGCACTCTCCCCCTCTCTCTCATTCTCTGTTTCTTCTGCTGCTATAGCTCTCTTCTCATTATAGTCTCTATATATTCATTTCCTTACATCTATATACAGTTTTTAATATTATATTTATATATATATCTTTATAATACACACATTGATCGATTCCTAAACGTATATTTTGCTGTCTCATCTATGGACAGGCGTTCATTGGCATATATTTATATCTCTCTCTCTCTTTCATCCATATATATACACATTAACGATGTCGCATACTCATGTCTCTCCATCTCTCGTCTTTGCAGATACGCGGTTCCCAGCACTGAACAACGAGCGCGAGACCACCGGCACCAGACACCAGCAGGACGGCGGCGGCACGGCGGGCGTGACGCGGACGCTGCGCACGCTCACGCTCGACGACTCGGTGCCGCTGCCTCCCGTCGTGCACCACAACTACGCGCACCTGCAGCCCGTGAGCCTGCACGTGACGCACGGCTTTAACGTGCAGGTGTCGCCGAGTCGCACGATCGCGAGCCGCCTCGACGACGAGTTCTGCAACGCGTACGTGTTCGTCAGCCGGCCCGTGCGCCTCGGGGAGCGCATCGTCATACAGGTGAGTGAGCCTGCGTACGTACGCACACACGCGCGTGCACGCACGCACGCATGCATAACACACACAAACACACACACAAACACACTCA